GTGGCGGATCTGTTCTGCAAAATATTTGACTGCATGTCACTGCATATCAAATGACTGAAACGATAAAACTAAAGAAATCTCCACTGTGCTGTGCGAGAGCGCTCACTGAACAGCGCAGCATCGAGAACGTAAGCGTGCCCAGGCCCGATTGTAATGTGAGTGCGGGCCGTCGAGGGTGACGGGAGGGGGGACAAGCGTGCTTTGGCCCGGGTCGAGGCAACTGTACATTGTGTGAGTACAGCCTAAGTGTGTATGCATGTTTCCCAGTTTCTGGATTACGGCTGGAAGGGCATCTGCTGCATGAAACATATGCTGGAATAGTTGCCAGTTCATTCTGCTGTGACAACCTCTACAATAGAGACTAAGCTGAAGGGAATCGAATGAATGAAAGAATGAATGAAATGAAAACTTTCTGTTTTGCATTTGCAGCACACCTGACATGTCACGATTATTTTTTTAATGATATGACCATGCGTTTATTTATAGAAACTAACTACTTTTGGTCATGACACAACAGGCACTATAAGAAGCCTCATTGCATTGTACAGCTCAACAAGGTTCATCAGTTCTTCCAGAAATTCTTTATCCACATTTCCTTTAAAAAATTCTGTACTATGACTTCCCAGAAACATCTTCTGTGTGGCCGCTACCAAGAATAAGGGGCTTTCCTTGCCATTAAGGCTTAGACAACATGTCTATGTCTCCTTTGATTAAATATAATGGCTAGTGCGGTGGCTGCAACATGCATACAGCAAACCTGCAGCCATTACCATAATTCTTGGAATTACTTATCGTGAGAGGGAAAAAATGCTTTAGTCACATAACATCTGATAATTGAAACGTCTTTTTTGCAATTGGACCAGCCTATAATAGGAACCAGCCAACTGACAGAAGAATATACTGTAGAGAGTTTGTGAGTGTGTGTGAGTGTGTGTGTGTGTGTGTGTGTGTGTATCTTTTACAGTATTTCTTATGTAGTGGGACAAAATGTCCCCACAAGTACAGCAATAACAGTTCATTTAGATTTTTTGGGCGGGACTTTTTTGGTCCCAATGATGAAACCGGCTCATGAATCACAACTGATTCCTTGTTGTTGAAGGGGAGATAATATTTTATTATTTATTATTATTTATTATTTAATGTGCGTGTGTGATTAAAGGATTTACTGGAACTAAAGAGTTCTGCTATTCATTACTTAATGTTTGTGATTAAAACAGTTTTGAACTTAAAATGAAAATCTTCATCACTGACCTTCCCTTGTGTTGATACAAACCCATGACATTTTGTTCATCTGTGCAAGCAAATGAAGATTAGTTTAAAGAATTCTGAGAGATTTTGGTCTCTGTGTTGACAATCTATTCACCCAAAATGCTGTCGCTTTAACACTGGAACTACCAGAACTCTAATATCCATAGCGGGTCATTCTGATCGTTCATTTAAGGCTGTACCGAATTGAATTTTTTTTATATTTACATTCAAAGCTTCTTTTGAGATTTTAGAATTAAGCTTTGAATATCTGTCATATTTGATGAAGTAATTACTGTATTGCCTTTTTTTTTATTATACTGTAGTTTATAATTGTGTATAAAAGTTACTAGACTGCCCCTGAAGGTGCGCACCTCACTTTGTCCAGCAAGTGGGCGGGTAAGTTTTTTTTTTCACTGCAGCAAACATGTTCTTTGAAAAACATGTTTTAAGTAAAGTTAGGGTTTTGCTATCAGAAAGGTTTGTTTTTATTATCAGAAAGTTGCTACCCAACAGAGGTGCGCATATTCAAAGGCACAGAAAAAAGTAGCAGATGCTGAAATGCATGCAGTCAATTTTCTTATTATCTTTTAATGTAGAAATGCTCAGAAGCAAAGTCCCTTTAAGACAAGTCATTTCACTAGGCGGCTATCTTTGAAACGCCTTTCAGGCAATATGCTCGGGTATTCTGTCTGAATGGGGAAACATCAAATTCTCCAAAATTGCTTTCCAAGCTAACAATTGAAGTTCACATTAGGAATCGTTAATGAAATTTAACAACCACTGTCACTTTAGTTTCATTTCTAAACGTCCAAATCACGCAAAATCTGCAGAAACTCACAACTGGTCCAAGCCCCTCCCCCAGAACATTATCAGTCTATAGCGATCAATGATTGGCTCCTGTACTAGAAGGTGGGCTTTTTTCACCATATGGCGATCGACAATTGGCTACTGTTCTAGCAGGCGGGGCTTGATTCACCATATTGACAGTTACGCTTTTCCCTATTCAAAAAGATACAAGTGACATGTCTTGTGTATTCTGTAGTCTTTGTCAGAACTCAGACGCTGTACTGTTAATAAATAACAATGTTTTAATGGAATTTACACACATTTAGCAAATGTCATTTTTGTGGATTTAATTAAGGGTTTGTTAAGTTATTTTATTAAGTAATTAAATTACAACAATTAAATCAAAATGACCACCTCTGTTATTCTAGTGTTTAAACATCCATAAAGAAATCCAAAAATTAATCAATTAAGAGCTTTTTAGGATGAACAGGTTTACTTTTGGCGAACCCTGTTTACAAAACTCAGATTTGATCACTAGCATGCTTGCTTGATGTGTGAGAACTAATGAGGTCTTTGTTTTCATGCATCAAACATGTATGGTAACCTTCTGGTTATATTTGCTGACCAATGTTTATATGTACTATAAAAACCCAATTTAAATCTATTAATCATAGGTGATTATGTCTCCTCAAAATACTTGAATTAAACTTTATAATTTGCACAGATTTAAGTGTGGACATTGCTGAAAAAGTCTATAAAAGTATCTTATATTGTTCTGAAGACATACAAAAATCAACGGCCACTTTAAGATTTGCAGTTTTGATTTCCACACAAAAAGTTGTAAAAGCAGCCTCTGTGCTTCTCATCAACAATTTACAACAATCCAGTCAACATTTAGCCAGTCCATTTGCTTTAAAACTTTACAATTTACAAATTCAGACCTTTACATTTTTTTAAATCAGTGGGCATATTTCTATCAATTCTATTGAAGCCATTTACATCATAGAGTAACTCAAATTTACTTCACGCCTTCACAGTAAAACTTATATTATATAAATATGAGTATGATTTCAAAACAGCTATTAAAATGTCAGTATGTCGATGACCTTCATAAATATTTCTAATGTGCTGATCTACTTTAGAAACATTTATTATTATCAATTTTGATTAAAGCAGTTGAAGAAATTACTGCCAAAGATAATCATTACAAAATAATAGATAGTTAATGCCCTTTGTTTAAGCATTGATATAAACGAAATCGAGACTTTCATCAAAAATTGTTCATGGCTTTATGTTTAATTTTTTATATTTATGGACTTCCAGCTGCTCTTTTTTCTGTATGTTAATGCTATTTAACCGCGTTAGATAACATGAACAATGCAACTTGCTTAAAAAAAAGTGATTTTATCTTAGTTTATTTTACATTTACAAATAGAAAAATACTCAACATAAGTAACCTGACCAAACACAAATCAAAGACGTACAATAAAAATATAAATATAAAAAAATTAAAATACTCTAATATGTTTTCAGATATTTGAGAAACATGCTAAGTGAACATTCTTGTTTATGTGAAAAACAATGCTGAAGTCATATATTTTGCTTTGACGGGTTTTCCGTGCCAGAATTCTGCCTTTGTTTTGGTTCTTTTAACCCGCCCACTGCCAGTTTAGCAAATTATATTTCAGCAAACCGGGTTGCTTTGGTGGAAAACTGTATATTTGATTCATTCGGTCAGAAAGGCTCTCAAAGCATGCGTCCGTGACTGAAATGTGACCACCGGTGGACAGTAGCAGACTCCGAATTTAACGTAATACCTAGTTCAACCACTGGGTGTCAAACTTCCACACTGCACCTTTAATGCGTTAACTAATGTTTACTACTACTTTTATAAGTATTTTAATAAGTATTAAGTGTTACCTATTGTACTTTATCATCCTTTTGCAGTTTAATTGATAGATTAAAAATGTATTTACTCTCTGATCTAGGGCTGCAAAATATATCATTTTAGCATCAATATCGCAATGTGCGCATCCACAATAGTCACATCACAAGATATGCAATCATGAGTCTGAATTATAGTTGAACAGCAGCTACAGAATTGTATTCAATTACTGTATTTATACGTAATTTGTACAATTTATGCAACAAAAAGTTCTTAGTTAACATTTTTAGATATATAAAGACAGACAGATAGTTTTGTTTGTTTTGAGAAAAACTTAAAAGCACAGGTGTCAAACTCAGTTGCAAAAGGGCCTTACCCTAGTTCTAACCCTAATTAAACACACCTGATCAAACTAATTGAGTCCTTCAGGCTTGTTTGAAACCTACAGGTAAGTGTGTTGGAGCAGGGTTGGAACTAAACTGTACAGGGCTTCTGCCCTCCAGGAATTGAGTTTGACACCCCTGCTTAAAAGGAAAAGTTGAAAACAAAACAATATATTTACTTGATCTAAGAATTTTTAGATATTTAGATTAGAAACCAGACAAAAAAAGAAAGAAAAGCTTTTTTTGCATTGTGATTTATTATTATTTTTTCTTACTAAATACAATTGGACTCTATAGAACCATCAAATAGTGCTTCAGACTTTCTTGGAAAACGGTATCCCATATCACAATATTTATCGCAGAAAATTAAAATATCGCAATATCACATTTTTCCAATATCATCCTATGAACATCTACAGACAATAAAGCAATACACTTAGCATGTTTGTTATTATACCTGGTAAAGTAATCTTTTTTTCAGCTTAGGTCAATACCATTATAAAAGCTTCAAAATGAAGTTCATAGCGGCGAAGCCTGCATTGAAGTATTATTAAAGTCTGGCCTTTTTCTAAAAGAAAAACTAAACATTCCATATGGACTTAAAGCGAGCCTACATATCATGTTGACTCATGGATTCAGCTGAAAATCAAGTTCAAAACAAAAATGCTCATTCAGATCTACAGTATGCTCACACTCACGTTTTCTAGCCGTCCTTCGCTCTGGTTTCCAGTAAAGTCGCGGTTCAGCCAAACACTGACTCACACACAGAACGAGAGAAAAGCACTGACTGTTACAAACACTCACTGTCTCCCTGTTCAGCTTCATCCCTTTATTCACTCACCCTAACCAGGTCAGGTGAGATTTTCATTTATTTATTTCTCACTGACTCTCTCTCTCTCTCTCTCTCATGTGTGTGTGGATGCTCTCTTGCTGTCTATGAGGCAGGAACACTGAAGTTACATAATGACTATATTTCTGCATGCTCATAGCTCAATAGCAGATAGGAATAGGAGGACGTCCCAAAAGTGTCATGTCACGAGAGGCGTCCACGATATTCAGTGGATATATATCGATTTCATTAACAGTATCTAGAGCACACTGTCTAATGTGTGTGTGTGTGTGTGTGTGTGTTTGTATGTGTGTGTGTGTTTGAAAGAGATTTTCACAGCTGCTGTGTGTCCAGACTCCAGAGTAAAATCCCATGAGTGTCAGTGGACGCACCTGCTTTAGCTCTGTCACAAACTGAGGTTGTCAAGGAAACGATGTTATCATAAACACATGGTGGATTTTTGGCTTGCTGGATGTCCGTTCGCAAATAGATCATGTAGGTTGATACTTTAGTATCAATTCCTGAAATGGAAATTAGGAACATCTCACAAGTTTGCTTTGGAATATCACTAGTATATTACTATAATCAGGATTTGTACAGGTTCCATCAACTCAAATGTAAGACTTTTTAAGACCCTTTTAAGACCATCATGAATGAAACTTTAGACTTATACAGGGCTAAACACTAAAGCATTTTTGCAATAGCCCAGTTGGGCCAAAAGAATTGGACAGATCTTCTGCAGGTTTTACCAAGTTAATTTTTTAGACATTTTTAAGACCATTATGAATTTATTTTTTGGCTTTTACAGGGCTAATTGCAAAGGATTTTTGTAATATCCCAGTTAGAAAAGATTTTCACTTGTCAAATCAAAAATGTTTAAAATTGAAAACATTTAATAATACAATAATAATAGTTTTGTTTGAATATTTTTGTAATAATTTTCAAATACATCAATTCACAAACCCTATAACCCTTACCAAGAATCTACAATAATAATAATTTAATAATAATAAATCTAGGTCAGGTCAGTTTCCTCAGCAGTTTATAAACAGATAACCTTTAAGCAAATGTTATTGTAAAGGAAGTAATTAAATGCTATTTTTATATAAAAAGTTAAAAGTTTTATTGAGATATGGCTTGTCAGTGATTTTAAAGGTGTTAATGCCCAGGTTGGGTAGCTATACATGAACAAAGAAAAATTAAGACCTGTTAAAAAAATGATTGAAAACCTACAACACAACACTTGAGAAGATTTGAGACTTTTTAAGGTCTAAAATTTAGCTTTTGAGCAGCACGGTGGCGCAGCGGGTAGCACAATTGCCTGACAGCACGGAGGTCGCTGGTTCGAGCCCCAGCAGGGTCAGTTGGCATTTCTGTGTAGAGTTTGCATGTGTTCGTGTGGGTTTACTCCGAGTACTCCGGTTTCCCCCACAAGTCCAAAAACATGTGGTATAGGTGAATTGGGTAGGCTAAAAACATGTGCTGGATAAGTTGCCAGTTCATTCTGCTGTGGCGACCCCAGATTAATAAAGGGACAAAGCTGAAAGAAAATGAATGAAATTAGCTTTTGAGATTTAAGACTTTTAAAGACTTAAAAATAATTATGCGGACCCCGCGGTCACCCTGTAAAGACTTGTGGTAGTCTAGAATTGTAAAACAGACATATTATATGTTTTAGTATGTTTAGTAACATAGAATGTTTAGTGTTTTAGTGGTCTTTTTTATTGATGAGGGCTCAATAGGCCTAGTATAATAATAAAAACATAGCACACCGTTATGTACTCGTCCCAGGTAAAACATTTGACCAAAAACAAAAACAACTGTGACAGATATAAGTACAAGAAAACAAATAAAACTATAATAAACAAATAACGTTGCAGAATTTGTTTTTCTTGTTTGTTTGAAAATACTAATAATTTGTAAACATACTTTTAATTACAGTACATACATACTTTTTAATGTTCTTTGATGTTGTTTTAATATTGTCAAGTGTCATTTGGTAATGTGTAACTTTTCAAGTAACTAGCAAATAATTTTAGTTATTAGCGTGTATTTAGTAACTTTTTTGGTTAGATATGGGTTAAGCATCATTTATTGAATTACTTTTACTAATAAAAGTATATGGAGCACGAATAAAGACAAATTAGAATGTTACCTTTGTTTTGCATTCTAAGCTCATTTGAAGTCAAGATGTGGTTACAGCAAATGTTTACAGTACTTGTTGTAAGTGTACTTGTTCGGTTGATTAATATTTTTAGCTAACCATATTAATTTCGGGATGGCCATGGGAATTACCGACATTAACATTTAATTATGCATACTAAACAGATAAACTGCTCATGTTAGAGCCCATTCTGATTTTAATTTAAATTAATAGTTAGTGTACAATACTACCTTGCAAGTGAAAATGCAGCCAGGTTTGATGAACGACGACAGCACTTTCCAACTCCCAAAATATTAGTTCTTTGCTAACAACATCGAGCTCACGACAATTATCAAAGTACCTCGCAACGCCCTCTATCGGTGAAAATAGTCACTGCACCATTGCTTTGGTGTCGTGTGTGGATTAAGGTTTTGGTTTCTCTAAAACGCGACGAAATTGAACCATGAGATATTATAAGTTTTTGTCACAAGAAAGAACAGATCTCACAAAGCTCATTTTGACCAAATGAGAAGTTACTGCACTTGGCTTTTGGATAGCAGTAGCATATAGTTATGCTTCTCGCAGTATATTTGCAGCTCCAAAAATCAGGACAGGTCACACTCTAAAAAATGCTTAGGCTTTCTACCCAGTTCATCCCAACAGCTTGGTTTGTCATACTGAATTAAATTCATAGCTCAATTTAACCCAATGAGTTTGTCCATAATTTAACCAAATTAGGTCAAAATTACCCCACTTTTTTAAAGTCTATTATTTGGGCTGTTAATAATATTTATAGTTGTGCCGTATTAAAAGTCACATCTGATATTGATTTTCAAAATTGCTTTTTATTTTTAAAGATCATTTTGCTAAATCAAAAAAAAAGCCTATAGTAACTTGTTTGCCAGCAGTTACCACAGTTAAGAAATAAAACTATAACACAAGTTAATACAGGAACCAACACCAATAAAAGTTTGTCCCATTTGTTTGTTAAATAAATTCTTGATGTTTTCAACAATCCGTTGCAGCAAAATGTTGTGATATCTTGGAAAATGCACTTGTCACAGAATGCCACTTATCACTGACAGTAACTTTAACCATAACTTATAACAACAGTTTTAAAAACCACACCACAATTACAAGGAAGAAAAATGTTATCACTATAATCACTTTTAAAACGTTTTTTTTTTTTTTTTACGAGTGCATAAATCATTGACAAACTAATTGTTGAGGAGTAAAATGTCTCCAAGGGCCCTTATCAAAGAAGAGTTGAGCAATAGTTTACCTCATTGCTAAAGAACTCATTGAAGTAACTCAAATTAATAAAGTACTCATTGACATATTGATTAGCTGTTTAGTAGCCACTGTTCATCGTTAAGCAAAGTTTCCACAGTTTTTGTTACCCATTTAGAGACTAATCTTTAAGCAACAGTTTCAGATTTTCATAATAAAAAAGGCAAGAACATTTACAAAAAAAATACATTTACAACACTGTCCTTGATGCAATTTGAAACCAGTAAATGATACTTTTTTTTTTGAAAATGTCTACTTGATTATGCAATAATAACTTTATAATATTACTTTGTGAATAATTATCTATTTAAATGTATTGTACTATTATTATTTTGCTAATCGAGCTTAAGGTAACACAATGGCTCAGTGGTTAGCACAGTTGGTGTTTCTGTGTGAAGTTTGCATGTTCTCCCCAAGTTGGGTTTCTTCCAGGTGCTTCTGTTCCCCCCAGTCCAAACACATGCGCTAGAGGTGAATTGAATAAGCTAAATTGGCCGTAGTGTACGAGTGAGAATGTGAGAGTGTATGGGTGTTTTTCCCAGTGCTGGGTTGCAGCTGGAAGAGCATCCGCTGCGTAAAACATATGCTGGATTAGTTGGCGGTTCATTCTATTGTGGCGACCCCTGATATTTAAAAGGACTAAGCCAAAGGAAAATGAATAAATGAATGGAGCTTACGATTATTTTAGTTAATAAACCTTTAATATGGAGTATTCTCGAAACCAGCGGTTTAGATACTTGGTATTCTGTTGATCACTACATCATAGTAAAAAAAAAATCATGTACAGCGGGGAAAATAAGTATTTGACACATCAGCATTTTTATCAGTAAGGGGATTTCTAAGTGGGCTACTGACACAAAATTCCTACCAGATGTAGCCATCAAGCCAAATATTGAATTCATACAAAGAAATCAGAACATTTAAGTATACAAGTTGAGTCATAATAAATAAAGTGAAATGACACAGGGAATAAGTATTGAACACATGAAGATAACAAGGTGCAAAATGGCATAGAAAGTCAGGAGATCTGTCAGTATTGAGAGAAAAACCCTGCTCCCTATCAGTACTAATTGATATCAGCTGCTTTAGTCCTAATTGATGGCCTATAAAGGCTTCTCATTACTCAGGAGGCACACAGGAAAGACTTCATGATGGGTAAAAACAAAGAACTCTCTCAAGATCTGCGTAGTCTTATCGTTGAAAAGCATTTTGATGGGAATGGTTATAGGCGCATTTCCAGAATGCTGAATGTTCCTGTGAGCACTGTGGGGGCTATTATCCGGAAATGGAAAAAGCATAAGTTCACCATAAACCGGCCACGATCAGGTGCTCCACGTAAGATCCCTGTCCGAGGAGTCCAAAGAATAATCAGGAGAGTTCTCCAAGAGCCAAGAACCACTCGGGCAGAACTTCAGGAAGACCTCGCATCAGCGGGTACTATTGTTTCAAAGAAAACTATAAGCAATGCACTGAACCACCATGGCATCCATGCACGCTCACCACGCAAGACTCCATTGCTGAACAAAAAGCATGTTGAGGCCCGGTTAAAGTTTGCGAAACAGCATTTGGAGAAGCCTGTGGATTATTGGGAAACTATAGTATGGTCAGATGAAAGCAAAATTGAACTTTTTGGCAGTCATTCTACACATCATGTTTGGAGAAGAAATGGCACTGCCCACCACCCCAAGAACACTATACCAACAGTTAAGTTTGGGGGTGGAAGCATCATGGTTTGGGGCTGCTTTTCAGCAAGGGGTACTGGCAGACTTCATATTATTGAAGGTAGGATGAATGGAGAAATGTACCGGGACATTCTGGATAAAAATCTGCTGCCATCTACCAGAAAGCTGAAAATGAAAAGAGGGTGGACATTTCAGCAAGACAATGATCCCAAACACAAGGCCAAGGAAACAATGAAGTGGTTTCAAAGAAAGAAAATCAAGTTGCTTGAATGGCCCAGTCAATCACCTGACCTAAATCCCATAGAAAATCTATGGAGAGAACTGAAGATCAAAGTTCATAAAAGAGGCCCAAGGAACCTTCAAGATTTAAAGACCGTTTGTGTGGAAGAATGGGCCAGAATCACTCCTGAGCAATGCAGACGACTGGTCTCTCCATACAAGAGGCGTCTAGAAGCTGTGATCACCAACAAAGGCTTTTCTACAAAGTATTAAGTAAAGTGTGTTCAATACTTATTCCCTGTGTCATTTCACTTTATTTATTATGACTCAACTTGTATACTTAAATGTTCTGATTTCTTTGTATGAATTCAATATTTGGCTTGATGGCTACATCTGGTAGGAATTTTGTGTCAGTAGCCCACTTAGAAATCCCCTTACTGATAAAAATGCTGATGTGTCAAATACTTATTTTCCCCGCTGTATATAACAAGGTAGAAATTTTAAATATTTATTTGACATGGTATAGAGTGATATGAGCACATAGAACAGAGGTGGCCAACCCTGTTCCTGGAGAGCCACATTCCTGCAGATTTCAGTTGCTACCAATATCAAACACACCTGAACCAATTAATTAGAACCTGAACAGCACGTGATAATTACAGGCAAGTGTGTTGGATATGGGTTGCAACTGAATTCTGCAGGAAAATGGCTCACCAGGAACAGGGTTGGCCACCCCTGACATAGAATATACACTCAAAATTCTTACAACAGGGGTGTCTAAACTCAGTCCTAGAGGGTCGCTGTCCTGCAGAGTTTAGCTTCAACTTGCTTCAACACACCTGCCAGGACGTATCTAGAAAGAGCTTGATTAGCCAGTTCAGGAGTGTCTGATTAGGGTTGGAGCTAAACTCTCCAGGACACCGGTTCTCCAGGACCGAGTTTGGACAGCCCTGTCTTAGGATGATTTTTAAAAATAATTTCTTTATATTTTAATGTGATTTTATGCTCAGCATGTCAAAATATAGGACTATTATTCCCTTTTCACAAAAAAAAAAAAAGATTTCTAATTAAATTTCTGAAACAAAAAAACAGCATTTACTTGAAATATATTTGTTTTGTATCAATATAAAGCACATGCAGCTTTACAGTCAAATAATGCAACATTTCAGTGAAACAAATGTTAGGGATAAAGAATACATATAATCTTGAACATTTATTTAGCAATACACACTGTGAGCATTTAACAATACAGTTACATTCCTTTCAGACAATCAGAGACAAAAAAAAAGACATTCATCAATTAAAACAAGTTCTGTAACATTGTTCATAAACCTGACATCATATTGTGGGGAACCACTGTGAGCAATCTGAAACAAACCACATTGAACTAGTGACTCATATATCATTGCTATAAAATATCTTCTTTTTAACATCTTAAGTGCACTTCGCTGGATTGCATTTAATTCCACACGATCAGTCAGATCTCCCAAGGCACAAAAGTAACCAAATACCATATTGTAATATTGCAGACATTACTTGTACACAATCTACTTACCAGCATTAAACAAAAAAGAAAATTACCTCTGCTTGTTATAAAGAAATGGCAAAGCACAAAAGCCAAAGAGAAAAGTCTTTGACTAAATACGAGTGCCATCTTCTACACAATTCACTGGTAATGAAGAAAGATTTGTCTGCAGGATAACATCTTAACTTTCAGTCAGAATAAAAATTGTTCCCTCAGTAAAGTCAAAGGGAAGATGGGTTCATTGTAGGTGATTAATTGACGTAGTGATGATGATTAGAAGAACGATGATGCACACGGCTACAAAAATGGCATTTCACTAATATAATTATTGGAAAAATCCCTAATATATTATTACAATATACTTGTGGTAGTCTAGAATTTGTAAAAAAAAAAAAAAAAAAAGGGAAATTCTATGTTTCAGTGTGTTTAGCAGTGGTTATTTAAAATTGTTGTGGATTCCATAGGCCTAGTATAATAATATAAATATTATTAATAATAATAATAATAATAATAATAATAATAATAATAATAATAATATCAATAATAACAATAACAACAACTACTACAATAATAATAATAATAATAATAATATCAATAACAACAACAACAACAACAACAACAACAATAATAATAATAATAATAATAATAATAATAATAATAATGTTTACTCACCCTAACTGGTAATACATTTCACAAAAAAAAAAAAAAACTGACAAATATAAGTACAGGAAAATAAATAAAACTAAATTATTAATAAACAAATACAGAAACGTATTTATTGTTTGTTTGTTTGTTTGTTTGATAAAACTAACAATTTGTAAACATATTTTAATTACAAATTTTTAAATGCTTTTGTAAATGCAAACAAACTAATTTTTCTCCCAGTAAGGTCAAAAGGAAGATGGTTTCATTGTAGGTGACTAATCAACATAAACTGCAGTGATGATGATTAGGAGAAGAATGATGATACACACGGCTCCACAAATGGCACCATAGACCCATTTCTATAATAGATATATAAACAAACAAAAAAACAGATATCAGTTTGAAGCCAATTAAAATGTGCCTGTTTTAATTGGAAAGAATCAATCTTTAGTTATATTGCTATTTGTTTGAAGTAAATGAACTGTCTTCTAACAAATGTGGACAAGACTGAAGCTGGTTTTTAATAAAGGAGAATTGAAAATAGATGAGATTGTTAGTGATTGGTTACTGGGTGTTACCTCAGAAAGCATGCTTAAACAGGATTGGCTGCATTAGAACTGGCGGCGGCGGTGTTAGTACTGGTTTTACCAGACAGGCCAACAGATAAACCAATGATTAGTGCGACCACAGCAACCACGACCAGAACAATAAGAGCAAGAATGATGTGTTTCTGTACAAGATAAAAAAGAAGACAAATTTATGCAAGTATTTGGTGGCATTAAAAGTACAACTGAACTATAGAGTATTCTTCAGCTGTAGTAGACTTAAAGGTATAGTTCACCCAAAATTTAAATTTTACTTACTATTAACTTACTCTCAAGTGGTTTTAAACCTTATTTTGAACACACAGAAAGATACTGTTACGGTCCGTGAAAGTTTGTCATTAGCTCTTTGTCTCACCCTATAACCTTTTGTTTCGCTTTTCTTTGCCTCCACAACTATTTGCTGATTGGATCCCGAGCCTGTCACTCCTCATTAGGGGGGTTTCCTTGTGGACCAATCAGGTTTTGTTCCTCTGACTTTACATTTGACCAGCACGCCTTGTTTGTTTAGTGCTGTGTGTGGGTTTGTGTTGTGTACGCTCATGTTATTTTTTTTTTTTTGTATTACGATTTGATTCTTCTGGTCTCTGAGCTAGTCCAAAAATCTGTAAATCCAATATGGTTAAAAGTTTATCATTCCTTTTAGTGGAAAAAAAAATAGGTTAAGTGGCTGTTGGTTTTGTTTAGTTCTTTGCTTTGGTGTCACTCTAATTCCCTGTAACTTTTGGGCTGGTAATATTTCTGTAATTGCTTCTATTCATTTTCAAATGCACTGTTCAAATCTCATACATGCCCTTTTGTTGGTGCTATCATTTTTCCTTACAGAGGAATAAACTTAATATTTATAATATAATTTTCTAAATGTTACGTTTTCTCTCTCTCTACACCTTATTAAACCGTAACATGTATTTTGAAGGAAGTTGAAAACCTGTATTCATTGATTTACATTGAAGGAAAAACAAACATGGAAGTCAAGGGTTTTTAGCTTTCTTTAAAATTTCTTCCTTTGTGTTCAATAGAAGATAGAAATCAAACGTTTGAAAGAAGTGAACTGTGTAAATGACGCCAATTTTCTTTTTTGGGTGAGCTATCCCTTTAAGGAATGCCTTATTAGTATTTATGAAGATGTGATATATAGAAAGCTCATGCTGATATGCTTGCATACAGCTAAAGTCCAGAACTATTAGCCCCCTGTATATTTTTCCCTAATTTCTGTTTAACGGAAAGAAAATTATCAATACAATTCTCAACATGGTTAATAACTAATTTCTAATAACTGATTTCTTTTGTCTTTGCCATAATGACAGTACATAATATTTTACTACATATGATTCAAGATACTAGCATACAGCTTAAAGGGCACTTTAAAGGGTTAACTAAGCAAGTAAGAGTATTTAGCAAGTCATTGTATAACAGTGGTTTATGCTGTAGACAATGAAAAAAATATTGCTTTTAATAGGGGCTAATAATATTGACCTTAAAATGTTTTTTAAAAAACTAAAAACTGCTTTTATTTTAGCCAAAATAAAACAAGTAGGACTTTCTCCAGAAGAAAAAAAATATTATAGGAAATACTGTGAAAGACTCCTTACTCTCTTAAACCTCATTTGGGAAATATTTGAAAAAGAAAAATTACAGGAGGGCTTTTAATTTTGACTTCAACGGTATATATAGTAGTTGGTTTGCTTTTCCTCTTACCCTGCGGGCTCTTGTCTGGTACCTCACAGCTTTCTTTGTCTCCACTTTAGCCTGGCCGACGTATTCGACAGCATTGTGGACGTTCTTTTCAATGTTGTCAATCATCTCACCCTGATACGACATACATCAGTGTACTACACATTCTGTAACCCCTTTAATTCATCAATGCTGTAACAATTAAAAGTACCTGGGTTTCAACAAGCATGGCCATGTCCACAAACATGTCATGAAGCTCTTTGATGCTGGATTCCAGACGCAGGATATCCTGATGTCTAGATTCGATTTCATTAAGGGCCTGACGAGTTATCTGAGAGTCAGAGATGATCTGAAAATACAAGACTCCTTTTAATATCAGCTTCTAAGAACTTGTGACAATACAGCAACAATACAGTGACAATTTTATTATTGTATACTTTAGTTATTAAGCAAGAGGACAAATGAACAACTATAGTCTTCTATTATTCATACGTTCATTTTCTTTTCGTCTTACACACACACACACACACATACATTATGGACAACTTAGCCAACATAATTCACCTGTACCACATGTCTTTGGACTGTGGGGAAAACCAGAGCAGCCAGAATAAACCCACACAAACGCAGGAAGAACATGCAAACTCCACACAGAAACGCCAACTGACCCAGCAGAGTCTCGAATCAGCGACCTTCTTGTTGTGAGGCGACCACACTACCTACTGTGCCACTGCATCGCCTCTTTAATTATTAGATTTTTATTTATTTTTATTAGATTTTTAGATCTATTATTATTATTTTATGCTTTTTTTATAATTACTTTATTCATCCTTGTATGCATATTTTACTGCTGAACCTGTTAAATATTTGTAAAGTGCCTGAAGATGCTACTTTTAAAGGTGCTATATAAAAATAAAGTTGATTAATGACATGATATTCAATTACAATAATAATGTTTAGAGCAATAGGGTATCATCATAACTACTTTCTGATATTTTTATAGTGTTTTCTTTTTTAAAGTTCTGATTTATTCACTAAGAAACAGATAAAAGTATTAATTTTCAAAATGGGCTGTACTCAGTTATGCTGAACACTGTTTATTAATAACAGCAACAACAAAAAAAATAGTGACTCCAAGCTTACATTGTAAGGATAGCTAACTGAAAAATGTAAATTCTTTCATTATTTACTCATCCTCTACTTGTTCCAAACCTGTTTGACTTTCTTTCATTTGTTGAGCACAAAAAAGATACTTAGATATTTTGAAGAAACCCGTGTTGACATCCAGAATAAATTTCCTATGAAACTCAGTGGGAACTAGTTTTCAGCATTCTTCAAAATATCTTTCTTTGTGTCCAACAGAACAAATTCATAAGGGTTCATAAAGATTGAGGCTGAATAAATACAGTAGTGAGTAAACTTTCATTTCTTGGGTGAACCATCCCTTTAAATGTTGTCTGATTGCAATGTAACAGTGTTGAGGATTTCTCATTGTCTACTACAAAATATAATAATTTGCATTAAAAACAATTTGACGATATAATAATGTTAGAATAATTGTTTGTGTGCAATCTTATTTACTAAAATGAACATTATTTGCTCTCTTTATTACAAAAATTAGAGACTGTAACCACGAGAGGGCGCTAACTCTACATAATTATTGACAACGAGTTCCTTTCATGTCGAGTTAGCTAAAGGTCAAACTAAACGGAGAAGCCAATAGAAACTGGCTTTGTGCGAGAGCTTCAGTATTTTAATAATACAATAAAGCTATGATGATTATTCTGTAAAGCAAACTTACATCAGAAGTGAAAATGGAAGGGTTTCCAGTCTCCAGCATCTCCTCCAGTTCCTCATTTGTTGTGATTTTTCCAGCTACAAGATTTAGAGCATATTATATCAGACAAACAACTCTTCTCAAAGTTCAGGTCATTATTTGTTTGATAAATGGCTGCTTGTTTGTGAATTTGACAATGGTAAACAGGAAGCGGAGACCAGTGACTGCTAATGGTCTAGTCCATTTGTATAATCGTTTGGCTTTGTGTCATGGAACAGTGTATGTGTGTACCATGAGCTTGTATGTGGCCATGCTAAGTATCCCTTGGGGACTATATTGATTCAGCTGGGAAAATGAGAGGGAACAATAGAATGGCTGAAACTATTGATGTAAGGGCCACTGGAAAACACAAACACTCATTTATTATGACCCCTAAGCAGTGACTAATGTTCATATTCAGACACTTAAAAACACAAACAAAAAGTTATATTTCAATATTTTAAAAATTAAAGAGACAGTTCACCCCAAAATGACATTTATTCAGCATTTACTCTTCCTTCACTTGTTTCAAAGCTGACTTTGTTTCTTCTATTGAAAAGAAAAGAACCTGTAACCATTGAAATCCTTATTATATATATATATATATATATATATATATATATATATACACACACATTTATTTATATATATTTATATATATATATATATATATGTGTGTGTGTGTTAATGGTTTTAAGCTTCTTCAAAATAACTTATTTTGTATTCAACAGAATAAAACACAAAGCTTTAGAACCACATGAGGGTGACTACATTTTCATTTTTGTGCGAACTATTTGTTTAATCCAGCTCTTGTTTGTAGCAGGCCAGCAAGCCAGATCTGACTACAGTACATCTGAATCTCCAAAATTGTCGATCACTGTGACGCATTTCTTCCTTAACACTATATCAGCTTGTACAGTATATCTATATTCATGATGAGAATTACATTTATTACAACTAAAATTAAAACTAGATCATTTTTACTCCACAACTAAATTTTGGTTTACTAAAAATATAAAGGTTGTTGCTGGGTTGTCATAACACAACGTTGGATCAAATATGGACAAGTCCAAAATTGGGTCGTCACAACCCAGCATTGTTTTTTTTTTTTTTTTTTTTTTTTTTTTTGAGTATACAGTCAAATAAAAGATGCTTAATAAACCTACATGACAAACCTTTTTGTGAATTTTACAACTTTGTATGTTTTGAATGTCCTAGTTCAGAATAAAGGACTACTTTATAAGTTGTACTTTGAGTAGTATTTAGAATAAATACTTTTACCTGTACTACATTTTTAGCAAATACCGCTACTTTTAAAAGAGCATGAATTTTCAGTATTTGTTCCACAACAGTTGGATTCTAAAAATTATAATTTTATTTAAATTGCCACAACTGTTGGATCACATAACTTCAAATAACACAACACATAAATTAATCATCATGATAAAATCCCCTAACAAAACATACAATATTTACAGGAGTCTTTATGCAAATATTGTTCACGTGACTGGTGACTCACTATCCTATCACATCACTCTGTGTTTCTGGCCTGCTGCACACAGGTAAAGCAGGATCTCTCTGGAGCTCTGCTGTCTAGGTAACACCTGCCTTACAGTCTCCGGTGACAAACCATGCCGTTTCATGTGTCGCAAAGCAAAGAAAGTCCCTCATTAATCCACTCACACGGGGACTAATTCATGCACACAGAGAACATTTCCTCCAGAGGCCTGCACTACACGTCTGACCACAAATTTCTCAAATTACATTTTAACCACAGCATGTCAGGTGATAAGGTGGAAGGGGACAAATATATGGCATAAATTTGTTGTTGTTACTGGAAATAAAGTTTTGCCCAAATAAAACAAAATAAAACCTTAATACTAAATAAAACAATTAAAACGCTACATGGGCATTATATTCAACATCACATCATCCTAACAAATAAATCTCATTATCCTATAATAATAGGTATTTATTTCTGCATACACACAGAAACGGCAACAGACCCAGCTGAGTCTCGAACCAACGACCTTCTTGCTGAGGCAATTGTACTACCATGTCACTGTCACCCCTCAATATACAACTATTATTTTAAAATAATTATTTTAGATTAGATTATCAAAGATAGTTGATAACTATTATTACCTAAATTATAGTATCTTTAATTAAGCTTTAGACGATGACCAAGGCAATCTAAAATTTAAAAATCGAGGAACAATTAAATACACTATATATGCAATATCAACAAATAGTGACACATTTGAAAAATCTCAGACTGAATGTCAGTCTTTTTATGCAATAAACACAAATATTTTCATCTAACTTTAATTACATCTGATTAATTACTTAGTATTATTAATATTTAATTAATACAATATTTGAATATATTTAATACTCTATTTATAATGTTACAATTATGTTTTATAATTTTTCAAACTTGTTTCTTTATACTCATGTTTGTTCATCTTAATAAAATGTTTGGTTATTTATTTTTGAATGCTTTTTCTCCATTAATTCTCATATATCTGTCCTTAAGCACTCCCTTACCCCTTTAGTTTGCCGCTGGTCTAGTTAATTAAACCATGGTTAAATGTGCTTGAAAACGCTAAAACAAAGTTACACATGTACTGTAAGACTTACTGATTTCCAGCTGTCTCTGAATCCTGCTTTTACTTTTCTCTCTGAAGGACACTTGAGCTTCATTGTATTGCGTCATTACTTCCACAAATTTATGCGATAAATTAGTATACTGAAATAGAAAAGAAGCACAATTAACCAATTTGGCATGAAAGTATGGCTGTACATGAAAAAAATTGAGGCAGAGATGATTACCTGTGTTTTTTGAATGCGTGCATCCACTGAGGCTTGATTGACCTGCTCATCTGAAGGCAGACTCTGGTGCATTGCTAACAACAACAACAGATGATTTCTTTCACATTTCTTTTTCCAAACGCAACAAAACTCCAAATTTTAAATCTACTCACATTTGAGGCTTTTCTGTACATAGTTGGCATGTTTTTTGATTTCCACCGTGAGTTGTTCTAGTTCTTCTTTTGTTTCTGAAAGCAAAATCATATTGATCAGCAAGGATCCGTTAAATCAATCAAGAGTTATAGGAATTTGTTACAAAAGATTTCAAACTAATAATAAAAAATAAAACTCCCAATTTCCACAAAAAATACTCAACAGCACAAGTGTTATCAACATTCATAAGAAAAAAAAAATGTTTCATGAGCAGCAAATCAGCATGTTATACTAAATTCTAACATGCTGATTTATTGCATTGTGGGGCAATATTTATTAAATTGCTGACTGTGTAACACAGGAAAGTTGAGTAAGTTAGCTTTGCCATCATGTACACATATATTTTCACATGTACTGTTTTTACTTCATTTTCTGTATTAGGTAAAACATTGGTGAGCACGTCAATAAATTATTTTTTTTGTACTCTATTTCTACCTGGGGATACTCATCCCGAGGCCTCTAGAGATTGTGCAGTGCCACTGATGCGATCCAAGAGATGTGATAAGATCATGCCAACCAGAGGACTTTTAAAGGCATCCATAATCCTGAACCAGGCCGTATCCTGAGCTGATGGTCAAGGAGGAGCGGAGAGCATGAGACTGATTCCTAAAAGGCCCGTGACAGACGAGTCTCCGCATTGATCCCGTGGGCCAGCCTGAACACCCGCCAGTGACCTACTCACACCTGCAGCTTCTCCACGATGGACATCCAGTGTTCTCCAGCCTCCGGCATCTAGACTGCAGCTCTGCACAAGAGGTTTGGCCAGAGGAGAAATGGTCGTGCTCAGCTAAGCCTGCTTTCTCTCAAGGTTTTCTTCCTTCATTTTCATCAATTGGTGAACTTTTTTTCCTCACCATTGTCGCCACTGGCTTGCTTGTTTGGGACTTGGAGCTGCGCATCGATGGATTTGCTCTTCAGTGTTTGGACTTTAAGCAGTGAAAATTAAACCACTGAACTGAACTTTAACTCTGAAAACTGGACTGACATTTTCAATTTACTAGAACTTCTAATTTAAGCTGCTGACACAATCTACGTAATAAAAGCGCTATACAAATAAACATTAATTGAATAAATTCAGAAATATCAGTAAGCAGCTTTAATGTATTTTAACCTATTCAAATTACATATGAAGAGCTTAGATAGAAAAGCCTTTGTCAGTGCCATGTGAAATTTCCTTCTAATATGAAAGAAATAATAAAATTCTTTCCTCAGACTCCTGCGTGTAGATTCAATAATTCCAATGTTACAGTGATGAATAGTTTTTTTTTCATTGCCTTAAACTGAACATAAACAACATTTCAGACAGAATCTTGTATCTTAACTCTTCATAAATAATCAGTTATATCATTTATATAAAATAATTTATTCAACAGTTTAAAATTACATACAGGCATCTTCTTGATATTCCTAGACACTGATGTTTGCTTGATATAAAACTCACATGACAGATTACAAAAACCATCGGCTATCAAAGTTAATGTGTTTCTATGATTACAGATAACCACACTAGAAAAAGACTGATGTGTTTTATGTGAGGATATAAAATTCAGACATGTATATGGAAAACTGACTGCAGAGAAATATTACACATCCATTAGCACAATCCTCAAACAGATCATTCAATTTTACTATCAGCTTCAAGATTCACAGTCATACATCTCAGATAAAAACGTCACACTTAGTCTGTTGTAGAGTGTGTAGTAGAAGCACTCACACCCTTGCAGATGTCTTTATCTCAAGCTTACATTCCTGTCTGCATGTCCTATACATGCCCTGCAACTAACAGCCAGAAGTAACCCAACACAGTCACTTAACACAAAGAATGTGAGGGGGGAAACCATGATTCTTCACAAGCCCAAACCTGACTCCCTGTGGTAAATTTAAAGGGGTACGTATTCTCTGCTCATTTCAGTCACTGGTTTTTCACTATTCAGATTCCCCAACTAAAAATTGGCAATACTTTACAAAGGGTCTACATAAAATCATGGGGGTGTGTAAGAAAAGTTTTCTCTATAGCAGTTTTCAGAGGCGTTATTATAGACTGATGTGCTGTGAAGTTTTTAGCAGAGGAAGCCCATGGCCGTGTGATTTTCTTTATTTTACGTTTCTTGCTTCGTGACAGAGCCATGAATGACGGAAAGCCTGAATGTGCGCTCAGACAAAGACAAAAGCAGAGTGACTCAAAGGCATTGTTATATATTAGGTAATACAACAAAGCCTTCAAATAGAGAGAGTAATTTGGATAAATTTACAACTCAAATAAAAGATTCAATACATTGATTAAACTAGCCCAGGGCAACACTAAACTAAACTTTGTTTCTGAGCTTCTAAAACCCACTTTTAACCCTAGGTAAATGGTCAGCGTGATTTGACTGAAATATAAATGAAGTACAGACCAAAGGCATTTAAACCAAACAAAAACAGAACACATTTCATTTTCACATTCGACTAGAAAAACTAAAATAAAACACACAAAAAATATTAGGTTATGTCAAAAAATCATTGTTTGCTATATTGGCAAGAATATATGAACAAATGATTGACTTATTGACTGTGGAATTATAGAGCTTAATTCGGTATCTGCTCTATTAATTATTTTTTTAACATCTCTCCCAAGCAGCCTCCAGCCAGGTACTGGCACATGAGAAGTCTATTCAGGGACGGCTGTGTTATACTAATAAAAATTAAAGAAAAAGTTAGTTCTATCACGAAATAAAGCAGCAGTTGTGTTCCTAAGAAACTAACATTTGTGAGGAATAAAAATCTCAAACCTGACTCAACAACATTAACCTGGACATTACACTTCTCAAAAACATACAAACAGGATCAAACAGTTCTACCAAAAGGACTTTGTAAATATCAACTAAAAATCCAATATTGTACATCCCTTTATCATAGCCCTTTCTGTTGATTTTCCAGGAATAACTACCTATTTAAACGATTATTTCACAAAATATATTGTTACAATATATTAAAATGACTCATGAAATTGAATTTGGTCATACCGCCCACAACTAGATTAGATGATTCGCAACCAAAACCCCATCACATGCCATTCACATGCTATAGACCAGTGGTTCTCAAAATGTGGTACGTGTACCACTAGTGGTACGCGGAGGAATCACAGAGTAATAAAATAAAAAAATGTATACAATTTTGAAAAATTACTGTACATCTCGGTCACGAGCATCAAAATTTAACCCACAGGCTAGAAAAAATGAGTAAGAACTGCAGCACAATGCGCTTTTGTATGCCTGGCATGCCCAGTTGAAAACATCTTAACTTTTTAGAATGCCGCATCGCGAGTCACGCGACAAGAGTCAACTGATCAGCTTCATATTATACAGAATATAACTTCGTTAGACTAATTAGCTCAAACACAGAACACCCAAACACTGCAGTGCTTCTTAATTTTCTCAATAAATAAAACTCTTATCAGAGTGCAGCAATGTTCTGTCAGCTTGACATCCTCTGAGAAAAACGGGTTCCCAAGCAATCTACATATAAGTTAATGTTTAGATTTCAAAAAGTTTTACAAATACGTCATATGTACATGCAACATATATTTCAAAATCTATCAAAATTGTATAAATATGAATATGACTTGTTTTTGAACTGTGCAGTGCTGTAGCTGCTTAATTTGGCCAACTTCGCTGCTTTATTTTATTACTGGTCATTGTGGTGGTACTTGGAGAGACCAATTTTTTCTGAGGTGGTACTTGGTGAAAAAAGTTTGAGAACCACTGCTATAGACGATTATTGAAACACTCCACATAGAGTATGGATGTATATGAATATCCATGAATAAAAACAGTTGTTTTCAGCATTTGAATGAAAAAAAATTCAAGTCAAATGGTGACTGTAAACCTGCTAACGAGCACTGTCAAGCAAAACTATTTAACCTGACCATTCAGAAACTAGGTCTTACTTGTTTCTGTTGTAAAACTTGCTCATATTTCACTAAAGGTGCATAAGGGTGACTTACTCTCATCAGGATTGGGGGCCGAAAGGATCACACTATATTTCTTCTTCACCTCATCCACTAGGGAGGAGATCTTTTCAATGACCCGTCTGACCTCTTCAACCTAAAAAAAAAAAAAGTAAAAGCAGAGTTTTAATTTGTATTTTTGCTAAGGTTTCACATTACTGGGCTTCTCGATGGACACTTCTACGGATGCATGTTCTCACCACACACACACACACATATATATATATATATATATATATATATATATATATATATATATATATATATATATATATATATATATATATATATATATATAAATTAGTTATTGTTTTTATTAATCAGTATCATTACTGTCCTTAGAGTATTTTTTTCAGAGCAATAAATTAAGTGCATACAGTCCCTATAGAAAATCATTATACCCTCTGAAAATCTTTTACTCACATTACACTCTGCTTTCAAAAGACCTTCATCACAATACTTTATTGCCAGACTTGCATTAGATTTTTTCTTGCATAATAGCATGATATATATACTCCTTACAAAGACATACAAAAAAAAAAAAAAATTTATTGTACACTGGCTTTATTCAGCTTCAAGACAGTCAGATGTACAAAAGATTTTAAATTTTACTTTATTAAAACTTGGGAATCTAAATCGACCATTAAACTTTAATGATATAAATTTAGGATTCAATATATGACTTGAGTTCAAAATGATGCTCCTTGCAAGCATCATGAGGTTCTTGTAATACGAATGGTCATATAATTTCTCCTATAATTTCTACTATCTTTAAACAGATTTGAATCTGGTTCATCTTGTTTTTAGACTTACAAACACTCAGAATAAAGTTGTAGAAAGGCAAGTTTGGAAAAGGCAACAAAAACATTTCAAAGGCAAGAATTAATTGGAATGTGATTTGGTTTCAGGCTATATGACAAATAAAGTAAGGGTATGATGATTTTCTATACTGTGCCTATGAAGGCACTTTCTTTTTTATGTTCCTAGTCATGTACTTTTATATCAACACTAAATGTATTGTATTGTTGAATGTGCCGTGTTGGTTTGTAAGTGAACTTATGGTTAAATAAACAAACGAACAAACAAACAAACTTTGAAGGCACTTGTACCCCCGTTACGTTATATAAACCCTCCCTTCCCACCCTAAACTGTTACCTTTTGAAAAAAGTCTTGCATGAAGTCATTTCTCTCCATGGACACAGCGACACCCCCATCTTCACTGGCATTATGCCTGCCCTAAAACACCACAAGTGCACATAAACACAAGACAGACACAAGCATGAGAAGTAAACATAAACAACAGAGAAAGTCACTAGGAAAATAAAAAACGTTTATTTTTTTTAAATGTCTTCAATAATCAAGTACGCTGCTAGCCAGTTTTTTTTTTATCGGATTTGTTATCAATCACTTGCCACATTCAAATCCGCCAGTCGGTCCCTCATAACAATGTCGATGAGACGTCGATTATCCTGTTTATCGATCACGTCCGTTGCTGTCCGTCCGAATTAAAGTCCATTTTAAGTTCTACCCAAACAAAAGTATGTTGACAATACACGAATTAGCATTTAGAATTAGTAACTTGACAATAAACGCTTATAAAAAGTGTTACTTTGAAAGAAATGTCCAGTCATGAGGTGTTTGTTTGGTTGCCATCCTTAGTTCTCCGCCTGTCTCCAGCTGACGGTTCTTCTCTGCGCGTCTCAATTACACTGTGGGCGCAGCTAACTCGGAACAGGGCGGTAACATTATGGCGCTGTCAGGCAATGTTTTATTTGGGTTTCTTTCTTTACCTTTTACGCTGTGTTTCAGTTTAAAGGCTATGGGCATCCGCACTTTTATTATTTTGGTGTCAATTTTAATCGCGACACGGTAGAAAGAAGATGACGTTTTCACGCGTTGTCTGTTACTTTTCTAAGCGCTTGCCAGATTGGGCCAATCGAAATCCTTAGTTCAGTAGGTATTAACTCAACTGATGTCAATGTCAGTACTTTAGGACTCAACAATTATTTTGAACTCGTCAATGTCGAATAAAAATGAATTGCCGTTTTCCTAATTGAATTACTGAGCCTCTCTTTGCCACCTGCAGTAGTTTCAGAGATGGAGTACACCTATAGCTGAAATGTTCATATACTCATCCTAAGAATAACACTCCACTAAGAACTGCTAACTGAACCAGCCGAGGATCGAACCAACAACCTTCTTGCGGTGAGGCGACATCACAACCTAGTGCGTCGCCAGTAAGTGTAAAATAACACCAGGTTAAGTATTTAAATTTTTGGTTGAACTCTTCATTTTTAACAATAACTTGTGTATAAAGGGCTGAGTTCTCCTTAAACACCAATATCTTTAACAGGGGCAAAACTTTGTTGCCAGGAATTAAATTTGTAGGATATTGCACTTGAAATTTTTATTTGTGGAGGGTTGACCAAAAAAGAAATTCTAAAAATCACTAGATTGTCAAATGATCCAAACAGTGTGAACTTCAGCTTTATTCTCAAATGAAATTGAAACATGTTTTCAACAAATTGAGGTTAGCTCGTCAAGTATTTTATTTACACATTTATTTACTTTGTAAAACTTTTACCATAACTATGTTGCTATGTTGTACTAGAATTCAAATCACAAAAGTAGGAGGGCTACAATCACAGCATTTAATAGTACGTGAAACATGCAAACTTTACATCATTGTTAGTAGTAAGTAGGAGCACTTACATTACAACGATTTATCTTTCAAATTGGAACCCAGAAAATAAATGTTTACTTTTTAATTCAATTAACAATCTCTAAATACAGAAATTTGAGATTTGAACATCTTATTACAAAAAAAAGGAGTCTTATAATCACAAGGCACCAGATTGAACTCAAGGCACACAATTGAAATCAATATCTGAAATAAAAGCATTTCCCCTTTCAAACAAAACTTTTTTGTTATACCTGCTCTTCTCAAAACTTTGTAGCTATGAAATGAAAGTTCTCCGAATAGCATACTCTTTTCCATTCAACTCGAAAAAGAAACTACGGTCACACTGTTCCTTCAGGACCCTGCATCTTGACTCTTTAACCAGTTACAGGTAATACAGGAAGTCATCCAGATTCATGTTAGGCTCCTTGTGAATGCTCTGGCCAACCAGGAAGGCCAATTTGTGGGCATACTGGCATGGAGCTGGCACTCGCACAATCCCCTAAGGAAACAGAGAAATAGTCATAAAGAATCCATATCACAGCACACTGTGTTAATTAGGGATGCCACAATACTCATAATATTGACTGGTTCTGTCTGACCTCCACAGCTCAATACAAATGCAAGTTTCACACCCAGTGGTTGAACTAGGTATTGCACTCCTGGATCAAAACAAATGCAAAGCGCAGGTTGCCAGATTGAGGACAAGCGCGAGAAAATTAAAAGTGTTCTAAATAAAAGCAACAGCACATAATAGAAGGAATATTTTTTTCATATTAAAAGGAGTTTTTGTTCTAACAAACTCCTCGAACATATATTTAAAACGCCGTCTATTTGGCACAAGTGAACAACGGAAAACTGACAATGATCAGCTCAGCTACAGTGCTTTATTCACTGTTAAATGTTAACAATGTGAGTTTGAATGCCATTTTACCTGACATTTATTGCTATATACTGAAAGCAGCAGCACCTCAGATCTTGAAAATAAACCGTCTGAAATTGAACTTTAGAACACATATCAGTGGTACAGCATCTACATTTAATAATGTTAAAGAGGGTTAATATGTATTAGATTATAAACCTTACCATTTCGTGGGTGAGTGCATATTCTGTACTTCTGAACGGCCATATTTAAATTTGTCATGTTTCTTCTGATGCAAACAGCCAAATTGCATATCATTGCATAACTAGTCACAAAGCATGTTGTTAATATTCAGGGTTACAATGTAACCTGCTCAGCTAATGTTTAGGTTCATAATACTTATATAATTTGCTAATTAATAACCTCATGTGGAACTGAATCTGCGTCTCATTTGAGTCTGCTACTCTCGACAGGAGGTCGCATTTTGGTTACGAATGCATGCTTTGAGAGCCTTCCTGACTGAATGAAATATGCAGTTTTACACCACGGCAACCCAGGTTGCTGGAATATAATTGGCTAAACTGGCATTGGGCGGGTTAAAAACCCCAAAACAAAGACAGCTTTCCGGCACAGAAAAACACATTTTTAAAGCAGATTATCTGACATCAGCATTGTTTTTCAGATAAACAAGAATGTTTACTTAGCATGTTTCTTATCTGGAAACATATTATGGTATTTGCATGCTTAAGAGTCAAAAAATGTGCATACAGCACCTTAAAATAAATGTAATAATATTTATCATTTAGCATGTCTCCCTTTCCTTTAATTCCTTCAAACTCTGAACTAACTGTGCATGTTAGGATACATGTTCATCAGCTGAAACATTTGAGTAAATGTCCCATAAGCACTAAAGTTAGAAATGTTTTTAATGTAAAAAATGTAAGAGACACAAGTTGCATGTCATTGCGTGGGATCAGACGCCCACACTGTCATTATTCCAGTATGAATGAAATTCATAAGCTTTTGTTATTTAAACATTGAGCCTCAAAGGGGGAGAACTCGCGCAGGAAATCTGAGAAGATCCTCATTCGAACAGGTGAATGAAAGTTATGAGGCACAAATTAAGTCAAGCTTAAGCTTTTTAATGGTAAAATCTTGACAACTTGACAAGTATTCAATCGGTTTTGCCTTAGATTAGAACATTCAAGAAAGTTTGTAACTTTCCCATTGTGATGCATCTGTTCAGTCAAACTAAAAACATCTTATTCCAGCTTTACGTGTTTTTAATATTAATTAAACAGATAATGAAATCATCCACTGTTCTTTGCTCTGAATAGCTAGTTTAATAGGTTAACCTATTTCATTTAAACAGTAATTATACACAGTATGCAGTGTTATATTTGGTATTCAGTTCATGCAACTAAAAAACTGTTTGACACATGAAACAATTGAAAATCAGTTGATTGTAGTGGCATCTTTGCCATGTTGTATTCATTTTAATTGTAGTTTAATTCTATAATTTTTATTTGACAGTGTCTTTTTTTGCTGAACATGTATTGAACTGTACCAAAACTGTGACCCTAAAACCAAAGTGGACTGGAGAAGTCTATACTATTACACAAGTGTTAAACTGTTCCAAGTGTTAAAAGCTATCAGTGGTGTATTACTTGTTTTAGTGATTTACAGTGGGTCTGTCTTTACCTGCCAGTTGTAGTACATGTGGCAAAGTTTGTAGGTGAGTCTCTGCATGTGATCTGGTTTAAGGCCGCTGTTGTCAAACACCACATTGTAGTGAGTAGGTGCGACACACCCAAAGCGCACAGCCTGGCTTACAATGAAGAAATCATACCTGGGTAAAATTAAAGATGAACAACTGGGTAAATATGGGCAGTTTGCATTATTTACTAATATAACTTTGCTGATATTAGATAAATCGGGAGTTTTAGTACAATTAGTACAAATAAAGCCATCATTACATTATTATAGATACATTCAGAACTGATTTACTTGATTGAACATGCACGATCAACTAAAAAAAATGCTTACGAATCTTTTTAAATTTATATGTACTATGGTTCATATACTAAACATAATATGAATTAAAGGTTGACTCTACTGTATCAACAAAATCCAGTTTATGCATAAAAAAAAGTAAGCGGTACCATGAACAATTAGTAGGAATTCAAAGTTCAGTATTAATGCTTGACCGGGACAACTGAATGTTTTGGATGGCCAAGTGAAAGAAAAATGTACTAATCGGGCAATGCTTGTTTGAGAATGAGCAGTGTTCCTTCAGGGTACTCTACACGCACCACTCTGGACGAGTGACTTCAGTGTCAATGACTGTCCCAGGAGGGGGATTGGCAATTTTGCCATCAATCCGAGCAAAGAATCGGGAGCTGATGCGCTTTTTCACCACCACTACTGAGAGCTTGGGCCTGTAAAGAAAAACATTAAAACAATGAAGAAAATGTATCATTCCTATAGTGTGAGTGTGTCTGCATGAAGGCTGGCTTACTCATAATCTTGCCCCATGGTCTTGATAGACTGCATGATCTGAGGAACTTCATAGTCCACAACGCTCTGCAGCATGCCATCTCCAACTCCATCTCGGTAAACAATGATGCGCGAGGGCAGAGAATTGTTGTATTTCAGATAGGCCTTCAGAGCACCTAAAAAGACAGTTGGATATCAAGTATGTTTTAGTTCATGTAAAAGATATTTTCTGGACTGAGGTGTGCACCTGTGAAACATGCTGGATTCCACCCAAAAAGGGTGGTCTGAGAACAGTTCATGCAAAACCACAGGTAATTTCTGATGTGAATGTAACCAGACTAAATTATTTAATTGAGCTACTGTTAATCACAAATGAATTGCCCAAACTGTGTATCTGTTTTTACTGGCTCACTTTACATAAACAATCAAAATTGACATTTTTTAAGAAAAATAAAAACACTGTTTCTAAAATTGCACAGATCATCCATACAAATAGTTACATATACACAACACTGAATTTATTCATAAATGTTACAAACCTGATGAGCACAAGAAGTTTCTGAAAATTGTGGTAGTAATATCGCTGTTCTTAAAGCAGATAAACATACTGTGTGTGCTCAAGTTTACCTAATTGCTTTCGGACAACAAAACTTGCAATTGAAAGGTTTTAAAAAGCACAAATTTGATAAAGGAAATATACCATAGTGAATACAGT